CCTGTCTCCTTTCATGTGCTGCTGGAAACCAGCAAGGCGTCCATTTGCAGACAAGGCTATTAGGTGGCTTGGGCATTAATCAGAACACCACTGATATTGAACATTTTTTCGTACATTTATTTGCCATTTGTATTTCTCCATCTGATACTTTTGTATTTATCTCAGATGTCCATTTTTGGATTGGGTCCTTGAATGTTGGGGGCTTGATTTTCTTCAGTTCTTTACATGTTCTAGATAGAAATCCCTTATCTGAAGGACAGTTAGCTAAAATTTTTTCCCACTGTGTCGATTTTCTTCTTACTATGTTGGTGATTTCTTTTGATGTGCAAAACTTTTCAATAAGATGAGATCCCAGTTGTTGATTCTTTGAAGCATTTCCCATGCTGTTTGGTTTTTGTTCATGAACTCTCTGCCTACCCCTATGTCTCAAAGATTTCTACTTTGTCTTCCAGTAGATTTAGTGTTTCTGTTTTAACATTTAGATGTTTGATTCATTTTGACTTTAGTTTAGTGCATAGTGATAGACATGGGTCTTGTTTTTTTCTTTGGTATGTGGAAAGCCAGTTTTCCAGCATTATTTATTAAAGAGGCTATCTTTCTTCCAGTGTACATGTTTGGCCCCTTTGTCAAAGATAAGATGGTTGAGTGTGTTTGTACGGCATATTCTAATGTGTTCCACTGAGACTCAGGTTTATTTTTTTGTCAGTACCATGCTGAGTATATCACAGTAGCTTTGTAGTATAATTTCAAGTCAGGAATTGTGGTACCTCCTGCCTTGCATTTGTTACCCAGGAGTATGGTCATTTTCACAATGTTGGTTCTTCCTATCCATGAGCAAGAACGTCTTTCCTTTTTTCTGAAATCTTCTTCAATTTCTTTTTTCAGAGTACTTTAATTTTCCATCTATAGATGTTTTACTTTCTTTGTTAGATGGATTCCTAAGCATTTCATTTTGTTGTATGGTATTGTGAAAAATATGGTTTTCCTAATTTCTCTCTCAGTGAGTTTGTTGTTTGTGTACAGGAATGTTATTGATTTTTTTTTA